AAATGGAACGAGATGTCATGTGACCGAGGGTCTTTTAAAAGGGACAGCATAAGCAAAGCTTTGCATCTTTTCCTATAGCAGCCTTCGCTCTCTCTCCAGAGGCTTCTTTCTTTTAAAAAAAATGTTATTAGTATCTTTTGTTTTTACATCTCCTAAATTTCTCCCAGTATCTCCCCAACTCTCCCCTTCCAAAGAGCCATCGCATATAAGAAAGACTTTGTTAAAGGAAAAGAAAAAGAGGAGGGGGGGGGAACTCAACAGACCGGGAAGCTAGGTGGTGCAGTGGATAGAGCACCAGCCCTGGATTCAGGAGGACCTGACTTCAAATCTGGCCACAGACACATGACACTTACTAGCTGTGTGACCCTGGGCAAGTCACTTAACCCAGATTGCCTCACAAAAAAAAAAGAAAGAAAGAAAATCAACAGACCCTATCCATACATATACACAAGGGTTCTTTTTATGGTGGCAAATAATTGGAAATTGAGGTGATGCCCATCAGCTGGAGAATGGCTGAACAAGTTGTGGGATATGATTGTGATGGGATACATGTGTTATAAGAAATGAGGAGCAAGATGGTTTCAGAAAAGCCTGGGAAGACTTATATGAACTGATACAAAGTGAAGTGAGATTGTACATAGTAACAACATAGTACATAGTACACAGGAGGAGGTTGTACATAGTAACAACAATATGGTAAATGTGATCAACTGTGAAGGACATAGCTACTCTGATCAATGCAATGATCCAAGGTAATTCAAAAGACTCATGATGAAAAATTCTGTCAATTTCCAGAGAGCTCTGATAAACTCTTAAGTGCATCTTGAAGCATATATATTTTCTTTACTTTCTTTATGTTTCTAGTTCTGTATTGTTTTTATAGCCTGTAACATAGCTAATAGAGAAATATGTTTTACATGATTTCATGTGTATAATTGGTATCATATTGCTTGCCTTCTGAAACGGTGGAGGAGGGGCAGGAAGGAGGAAGAAAATGTGGAATTTAAAATTTTAAAAAAAGTTAAAAATAAATAAATAAACCCCAAGAGAAAGTATAGACAATATCGCACACCCATGGACCTTCCACTTCTGCAAAGAAATAGAAAGGAGGTGTTCTTTCAGATTTCTTCTTTGAGGCCGTATATGCTTTTCATTCATTGTCATTGTTCTTTCCACTTAAATTATTGTAGTCATTGTGTATATTTTCCCTCAAATCAATTAATAAATATTTATTAAGTGTCTACTATGTACCAGGTACAATTTCTCTGTTTACTTCAATTTGTTTTATCATATTCATTGTTTCTTTTTGGTTTGGTTTTTTTTCTTCTTTGAAGCAATTGGGGTTAAGTGACTTGCCCAGGGTTGCACAGCTAGCGAGTATTATTGTCTGAGGTCACATTTGAACTCAGGTCCTCCTGACTTCAGGGTCAGTGGTCTATCCACTGTGCCACCTAGCTGCCCCAATATTCATTGTTTCTTACAGCACAATAATATTTCATTATATTCCTGTGTCACAGTTTGTTTAGCCCTTCTCCAACTGATGGATATCTATTTTATTTCCAGTTCTTTGCTACCATAAAAAGTGTTGTTATCAATATTTTGTTATATATGGGGTCTTTGTTCTTATCAATGATATATATCCTTGGGATATTTGCCTTCTAGTAGAATCTATAGGTCAAAGGATATGGATATTTGAGTAACTCCTTTTGCATTATTCCAAATTGTTTTACAAAATGATTGAACTGATTAAAATCTCTACAAAAAATGCACAAATGTGCCTATTTTTCCACAACCCCTCCAACATTAACTATCCTTATCTTTCATGATCTTTGCTAATTTGCCTGAACTTCATGGTTCTTTTTATTTGCATTTCTCTAATCATTAATGATTTGACACATTATTTCATAGGGTTGTTAATAGTTTGCAATTCTTTTGAGAACTGTTTCTTCATATTCTTTGACCACTTATCTACTGGGGAATGATTTTTTGTTTTATATATACACACATATTTGTGTATATGTCTTACCATACCCTTGATACAAAGGTTTTGTTTTTTGTTTTCTGACCACTCTTCTTGTCGTATGGGTTTAAATCATGCTCAAGACTAGCCCAGGGGGGGCACTAAAAGGAAAGGTTGGAAAATGCAGGAACCAGGCAGGTACTGTCTGCACATATGCAGAAAAAGTATAGAAAGATTCAGGTTTTAAAACTTTTCATACTTGCACAATTTCTGCAGCTGATAGCTGTGTTCAAGTTTATGAGAAAGGGAAGCAGAAGGAAGAAAGATATTCTGAGCAAACCCTCCCCCAAAAAAGGGAGGATCAAACTCCTAATACTAGTGCATTTATGAGAATTTATCCTTCAATGAGAAGAAAAAGAGAGGGAACTATTTCTCTGGAGCTTCCCAGCTATTAGAGAGGTGGAAGAGTTCTCAACTTGGGGCTCATGAATTTGGTTTTTAAAAAATATTTTGGTAATCATTTCAATTCTAATATCAGTGTTTTCCTTCAGAATCCTGTGTATTTTATTTTTTGAGTTTTAAAGCATTAGTTTGAGAAGGGGTGCATAGGCTTCACCAGACTACCAAAAAAAAAGGTCCATGACACAAAAAAGGTTAAGAACCCCTTTATCAGAGAGACCCCCATCCATCAGAATTTGAGGATGGGCTGTGATGACTAGAGGCAAGAGGCTGGAAAAGATGATCTTTGGAGGGTCTTCATCCATCAGAAAATAAAATATGGCAGGCACCAAGCACAAACATAAGTCATCAAAAGGGAAGGTCAACATTTCCTCACCTTCAGTGTGGTGTAGTCTGGAGACACCCTGCTTTCCAGAGCTAAGGCCCAGAAAGCAAGCCATGCCCTAAGCTTAGCATAACAATAATCCTTTGCTCTCACCCTCTGGATGATCTCAACCACAGCAAAATCCCAGAATTAGGATTTATGATTGTAACTGTTTTGCCCTATTTCCCAAGAGATCTTGGTCTGAGAGCTGGAGCTATAGCCAATGTATTGCAGCAGAAAGTCACCAATCACCTCTCCTGACACTCTGAACAATTCCTGTGCTTAAGTGAACCAAACCTGGGGCTGCACTCCTGTTCCCACAATGCTAACTCTGATTCTGTACCCTGCTGAATGATCACAAGGCTCAATGACCCTAAAGACTTCAGACAATCACAAGGCTCAACGATTCTAATAACTTAAGGACTGTTCCCACAGCACCCATTGTCCCAAAAATGCCTGCACGTATTGGACCTACCATGGGAATTGTTTACTCAAGACCTAAGGATGACATGTTGGGTCCTGCCTTTTTGTGGTTTTCATGTTTAAAAGCCCTACCCCTATCAGAAGCCACAAGCCGTCTTTCTCAAGGGGACTTCCACTTCCAAGCATTTTCCTCACTTTGAAATTAAACTTCTGTTTGATTCCTGGCTCTCCTGCTTCTAGCCTGCTTTGTGGCTCCAGCCACCCACAAGTTAGAGGCCAGTTGAGAAGTCCAAAGTCCAAAGTCAGAGGATCTGGGTTTGAATCCCACATGTTTTCCTGTTTACAAAATGCTGTGGTTGAATTGATGATCTCTAAGACTCCTTCTGGATTTTAATCCTATGATCCTAAGAGCTGGGAGATGAGCCAGTTCAAGAGTTAATGAATGGGGCCAACGGATATTTGATTCGGTCCCTTAAGGCAAGGCTGCAGACTGCTCCAAAAAACAAACAAACCAAACCAAAAAAGAAAAGAAAAGAAAAGAAAAACAACAACCAAAATACTCTTCCTTCCTCCACTCCAAGAAAGGACTGGATCCTTTATTCAGAAACTCTGGTTTGCAGAAACCTTAACTGGGAAAAGCAGCTTGGGAGGAGAATTGGTGGGACTTCCCTGCCTCCTCCACCTCCTCTGCTAGGACTGAGTATTCCTTATCTGTGCTTTCAAGATGCCTGAAGTCCAATGAAGTCTAGGAGAGTGTAAGAGGCACGATAGGCCTTAGAACTGGACCAGGGGGAGGGCAAAGGGCACCCACCTCCTTTTTCTATGAATAGTCACTGCTTGGCAGCCTGAGCAGACCTCTTTGCCTTTGATTTCTCAATCCACAGACTCCCTCTCCAGTCCTCCCTCCTCTTCTGTAGCCGAGGCTCGGAGTAGGAGTGGGGGGAGGGAAATGGAGAACAGGACAGAATCCAGTGCCTATGGCCTGGGCACACGGGGGAGTGGTGGAAAGACAGAAATTTGCCTAATCTGCTTCCTGCCTCAGTAGTCTCCCAGTGGGAGAGGTAGCAAGCAGTAGCTGTGTGCAGCATTTCCTGTCCTTCCTGGATTACGGGACAGAATGAATTTGGCCCTCGTCCTTCTCTATCTGGCCTCGAATCTCATATTTTTAGCTTTTTCCATCTCCTCTCAACCCCATGCCTCACCCCACCCCCAACCCCTCCGCATCTGCTCCCTTCCCACTTCACAGAACGATTTGCTTTAACCTTTTCCGAAGCACACATTATTTGAGTCTTATTTCCCCTGCTTTCAACGTCTCTGCACCAGCGACTAGCAGCCTAGCATGATGCCCTCTGCGAAAAGGATGCATTTAATAAATGCCTGTTGAATTGGAGTTCAGTGAATAAGGCGCGGGTAAGCATGAGAAAGAAGTCTCCCAGTCAGAAACCGCACAGATAAGCCTTATATTTTAGGGTTCAAGGATGAAATCGCAGGTGCAGGTCCCATTCCCCTATCTCTTTCTCCAAACCCTCTCCCCTCCATTTCTCAGACTTTCCCCGACTAGGGGCAAAGTCACCACACCGCCCACTGCCACTGCGTACAAACGGCACCGGCTGTCTTAAAACCTGTCTGTGCAGCATTCTGTGGTGGGAGGGGGCAGCAATCAAGGGGAGGCGCTTGGCCCTAATGTCAACGGAGGGGGCGGGTGTACAATCTCTAGGTCAAGGCTAGGGGCGGGGCCGGCCCCTGTGGTCCACTGTGTGGGTGCCCAGGGAGGGCTGTAGCCTAGCAGCGCCCCGCCCACGGCCCTCCCTCCCGGGTCCCCAGCAGAGCCGGCCCCCAGCATGGCCCTGCTGGGCTGCCCAGCCACGTCGCTGTACCCGTTCGCCTGCTGCGGGCTCGTCTTTTTAGTCCTCCTCCTGCTCTTGTTCAGCCGGACCCGCTGCGGTCGACCCCGCTGGGGCATCCCCGGCCTGATCATGGCCCGCAGCGAGAGGTTGCTTTTTCGGATCGGGTTAGTGTGCTGCGTGGACGCGAATGAGAGCTGGGGAGGGGCTGGGAGTTGGAGGGAGACTGGGCCTGGCGAGGACCGGTAAGGGGGGGTGAGACTGGGGGGGAGAGAGACAGACTGCGGGAACGGGAGAGGGGATGGCAGAGATAGGGGGGCAGAAACTGGATGATGCAGGAGAGGGGAAAGCAGAGATGGGGGAGCTGAGAATCCAGGAGAGGGGATGACAGAAATAGGGGGGCAGAGACTGGGAAGCTGGGGGGAAAGACTGGAGAACCCAAGAGAGGAGAAGGCAGAGATTGGGGGGAGTGAAGAGGCAGAGGATCTAGGGGAGAGATTGGCAGAGACGGGGGAGCAGGGCAAGGGAGGAAGGGGAAGGGGGGAGACAGAGTAGGGAAGCTGGGTGGGGTAAGGGAGATAGAGCAGGGGTAAGGGGGTTAAGGAGAGAGTAGGGGTAAGTAGGAGTGAGATAGCTGGGGGAGGGGCGGAACAGAGACTGGGGAAGCCGGTAAGGGTATGGCACGGGAGGCTTGGGAGGGGAGGTGGTACAGATATTGGGGGCAGGGAGGACAGTCCCTGCAGAAGCAGCGGAAAGGGGCATTGGCTTGAGGAGAGGAGTTGCTAGAATAGAAAGGTGATGAGCTTGTGGGTGAGGGAAAGGGAGGAATCGCCAAGCTTCAGGCAGTGGTAAGGCAGTGAGGCCTGATTCAGGCTAATAAAAAGCTTGGAGACGTGCTCTTTTCTCCCACCACTGAGGGAGAAGAGACTGTGAGAATCCTTTAGTCCCGGACCTTGGCTTTCTCTCTCAATTGAATAGGCTAAATGACATATCCCTTTTCCCCCCAGCATTTCTGATGCTGGCCTGTGGTCACTGGGACATTGAAAAAAAGCTGAAGATTTCGGAATCTGGCCCAGATGACCGCCAAATTTCATTTACCGGACCACTCATTTCTTGTTTTGTCACGAGACTCCCAAACACTTTGGGGCAGCCCTTGATCGCAGACTCTCTCTTCCTTTCTCCTTGTGATGCAGAGAGGGATCTCTTAGCCAGACCCATTCCCACCCCTCCGCCTCCAATGTCCTCCCCCTCCCCCCACCCAAGAGAAAGGCAAAGACCGGAGAAAAGAGCCGGGAACTAATGACTAAATTGGTCTTCCAAGCAACTAAGGTCTTTCTCTTCCTCCTCCCCCACAATGGGGGCAGGGTTGTATGGGGAGAGAAAAGGGTATTAAATACATCAGTGGCACAAAATAAGAGAAACTATGTATTTCAGCTCTTGGGCAAAAACCTTCGTGTTCAAATCTGAATTATGGAAGGCTGGGGATAAGCTGAGAGTGTTTACGTACATGTTTATGTAATGTCTTCAAGTTCTCTGCTTGATGTCTCAGGCCACGAGATGTGGTTTCTAGATGCCTCTTCATTATAGCTGCCCCTATAGCACTCCATAAAACACGTTTTATACGGGAAATTAACCCATTTGATTCTTTCGGCAACCCTGTGAGGTTGGTGCTATAGTAATGTAGCTAATATCTGAGGCAAGATTTGAACTCAGGTCCTAATTCCAGAAGCAGTACTCTGTTATTCTACCATTCCTTACTATCCCACATATTTGGCTTGAGCCATACTATCTCCAATTCAGTCAACTGCTGCCCTGAGCTAAGGGATAAAGATGTGAAAATTTAGAGAAAAAAGGGGGTAAAATTATTTTTATGCTTTTCTTCCAGGTTTTCCCCCAAATTATTAACATTTCTAAGTATACTCTATGTGATTATTTTATAAGTATACTGAGGTTCCATGTATCAAATAACAAACTTACTTTAGCTCTATGAAGAACATTTAAAAACACTATATGTATATGTGTACATATGTGTGTGTGTGTGTGTGTATATATATATATATATGTATATGTTCCTTTTCTTTTCTCCCCTTCCCCTTCCCTTCTTGTCCTGATTTCCATTTAAAAACAAAATTCTTTCTCCTTTTGGCATCAAAATTTCACATCTCTACTGGGAGGGATCAAGATGGCTTCTTTCTAACTCCCCAAACTCATGAATTAGAAAATATACGAAAGATTCGAGGGCCTTGAAATGAGACTTGGGATGGCAGAATTTTTAACATCCCCGAAATCAGAATTTTGAGGGCTTGGGCATTCTAGAACTACTTGGTGTTTCAGCAAAGTCATTGGATTCCAAATTTCTGTGGACTTTCCTGATTCTAGATTTCAAAATTGTCCTGGTGCACATACTGCCAAATGCTCAGAGCAGTACTGGGTGCCTGGGTTGTAAACTCCCAAACCGAGGTCTTCTGCAGTCATGGCTGGAACCATGGGTGGAGCTGGAAACATGGGAGGAGCTGCTGGTTCTGAGGAGTGGTGCTCACAGGAAATATCAAGGAAATAGGCAGGTGCTGGTGCTAGGGAGAGGGGCCCGCTTAGGCAGGAAGGATGCAGGAGAGAACACAAAGAGGCCCTAGAGGCTGGGGATTCCAGCAGGAAGGAGCACAGGAGATGGGAGGGGGGAGAACCTGCTGGAAACCTGGACCTAATAGTGGGGAAACTGAGTGAGAGAAGGTAGAGAAGAGAAGCACAGACCAAGAGGAGAAGCAGCCTTTGAAGGGGAGGGGTGGGAAGGGAGAGGTTGAGGGGATGGCATAGAGGAGAGGCGTTTGTTTGCCTGGGAAGTGTAGGGATGGGCACAGAGACCTGCGTAGAGTCTCCACCATTTTGCAGAGAGTATCAGAGATGACATTTCTTACCCATCTTCATCTTTCCTGATCTGCCTGATTACCAATACCTTCCCCTTGAAATGATCTCCAATTTATCTTGTTTACATCTTATCTGTACATAGTTTTTTGCATATCGTCTCCCCCATTATATTGAGTGTCTTGAGAGCAGGGACTATTTTTGCCTTTCTTTGTTTTCCCCAGTGCTTAGCACAGTGCGTGCACATAGTAGGCATTTAATTAATGCTTGTTGGCATATGTACTTGCTAAATTTCTGCTAAGGAGTGCCCCTCCTCCTCTCCTACCTCCTACCTCCTAACCTTCTCGAGTCTCTGCCGTCATTCATTAAACAATTGTGCTAGCTGCCTGACTGAGGTGTGGAAGGTGGGGGTAGGGAGAGGCAAGGAGAAATACATGGGGAAACGACATGTTTTCTGTCCTCAAGGAGTTTATAATCTATTCTGGGAAGTAGAACCATACACTAGGTACCAGAAAGGAACAAGCATTTATTAAGCACCTATGTGCACACAGTATGCTTGGTGTTTTACAAATATTATCTTATTTGATCCATGCATATGTAGTATATGCTGAATACCATCCTCTTAGAGAGGAAGACCGGAAGGCTAACAAGTGTCTCTCCTGTAGGCTCTGCTGTGTGACTCAGTTTCCCCTTTCTGCTTTCTCTGTGGAAGGTGAAGGGGAAATTATATCCTCTAGAAATATGGCCAGAAGAGGCTCTCCTTCTGTAGAGAGACAGCTAACTTTCCATGTCCCATGAATTCACAACCAGTTAGATTGATATTGGTATTATTTCATATTGCTGTTATCTCTGTTCATGTCTTGGCCTCTTTATTGCCGATAAGCTCCATGAGTCTAGGCCTTGCCTTAGCTAAATTTTCTGTCTTCTCCAATGCCTAATAGTATTCCGTAAGTGGTAAGCCTTTAATAAATACAATATGGTGGAATGGAGAGAACACAGGATTTGGGTTAGGATCTGATTTTTAATCTTGATTGATTATTACCTGGGTGACCTTGGGCAAGTCAATCACCTTCTTTCTATATGTCTCAGTTTTCTCATCTGCAAACTGAATTGGCCTAAACGATCTCCAAAATCCCTTCTGCCTCTAAATCTTAGGACAAAAGTTTGTGAAACCCAGTTAAATTGAGAGCTTCCAGCAAGGCTGAGAATTTGGGTAGCTATCTGCCCCAAGGACTAAACTATGTCAGAATCAAGCAGGGTTTATTATGTATCTAGTAGGAGAAACTCTGAGTTCTTTCTCATTTCTCATTTCATGATTTGCTTTCCTTCTACCCTCTGACTTCTGTGTCCTGCCCCTGTTCAAAGAGACCACTGACGGGGCAGCTAGGTGGCGGGCAAAGTAGACAGAGGACCTGAGTTCAAATCCGGCCTCAGACACATAACACTTACTAGCAGTGTGACCCTGGGCAAGCCACTTAACCCCACTGCCTAACCAAAAAAGAGAGAGAGAGAGAGAGAGAGAGAGAGAGAGAGAGAGAGAGAGAGAGAGAGAGACCACTGACTATCAAACATCTTGCAAAAGGCAACTCACTATCTGGGTTTGATAAGAGCAACTGTTTTGATTTCAACTAGAAAGCAGAAATTTCAACTAGAAAGGGGAGGATGGAAGGAGTTAGAGTGAGTTGCCAATAATCCAGCATCCATCCTATGCTTTTAAACAAAAAAAATTATTAATAGCTTCTTTTGAATCTCACATTCATTTCTGAATACATCACTTCTCAATACAGCAAACCATCCAATATAACAAAGAATTGTTGTTATTGTTTGTCCTTCATTCTTGGAGAAAAGAAAGAATAACTATAACAAAATAGCAAAATAAAAATAACAAAATAAATATAATAAAAAAACCAAAGAATAAAGAAGGGGGAAGAGCAGTTCAGGAAAACCAATGAACACATCTGATACATCTGACAGTGTATGTTGTATTCCATATCCTTAGCCTCCCCATTTCTACAAATAAGAGAAGGATCATGCTAGATTTTCCTATATATATGGAATTTCCTGTGTAATTAGTGATGAGACGCCACAAAACTCCACACCTCCAATGGCGAAGATAGTGTAACATAATGGAACGGTTCTGAATTCAGAGGTCCTTGACCTTCCTTGTGTCTTAGACTCCTTTGGCAAGTATGGTAAAACTGATGGATCCCTTTTTTCAGAATAATATTTTCAGATGCTTAAAATAAAAGACAAAGAATTATGAAGGAAATCAGTTTTATTAAAAGTTATCTATCTATCTATCTAT